GCATCCTTCGTCGCCGCTCGGCCCCACCCGGCCCAACCTCGTCCCGCCGCCTCCGCCGCTGCTTCCTCCTGACGGCCGCCGCCTCCAGTTAAAAATATCGCCACAATGGAATTAGCAGAGCCCCCTGGAAGGCCTTTACTGCACATGCGCCACGCGCGGCATGCTGGGAAGGATTGCCCAGTCAGGAGGGCAGTAGTGTTGGGGGAGGCAGAAAGGCGCAGGCGCGGGTTGACCCCCTGCATCTCCCTCGCGCGCCCCCTCCCCCTGGTTGGTTCCCTCGAGCGCATTACCTCACTGTCACCGCGATCGGGCTAGTCTCGGTCGTTCCCGGCAGGGTACTGTCTCCAAAAGGGACACTAGTGCCCGCGTTAGGGGTCAGTTGGCCTCATGGGAATAAATGGAGTTCTCTCTCCCTCCATAGCGGGATGTAAATGAACACAGCTTCACACGTATGCAGCTATCTACTGCATAGTTTCTACATGTTTGGAGCGGGACCGGAATCTTATCCAGCCCACGTTTGGCCCAGGGGTTACAAATGTTCCTCGGGTTGTAACGGGGTGCATCTTAGTCAAACGTAAATGCCACTGTATGCAAAGGGCTTCTTCCCCAGTAAAGCATGCATGAAGTGTCTGGTGTGGGAGAAATGCTATCACTTGTGTTTTCTGCAGCCAACCATCGAAGTCCATGACTTGAGCAAGACTATTTTGCCAAAGGGAGGTTTAAATGTTGAAAAGGCTACTACTGTGCAGGTTCAGACTGGATACAGGGAAATACCTCCTGACTGTAAAGCCAGTATTGTGCAACAGATCACACTGAGAATGGAAGCTGTGGAATCCCCTCTGTGGATAGCATTTTTCAGTAATGGGATGAGCTATCCATCAATTCAAATTTCATGCATTCTGTAATTGCTGAATTAAATTAAGGAATCTGCAAGTTCCTACCACACTTCCTGCCTCATGTTTCTTGCCTGTTTACTAAAAGAGAGATAGAGATATGATATCGAAGAATCAGTCCTATTCTAACTGCCCCCAAATCATGCTTGAGAGCCAATTTTATATGGTAGGTCACAGCCACTTTGAAAGTAAAAAATCTTTAGGGAAAGATGCCAGGTGCAAAGAATACTAATAGAAAACATTTATCCTATATTCTGCATTTCCATGTGCTCTGCAGTTTTAAAACAATGTTAGTCTAATCGCTATCCTAGAAAAGGGGAGTCACTGTCAACAAACCTTCAGGATATATTTCTTTGTTCTGCCAAATGACAGAGAAAAGCTAAGACGTGTGCAAACAATTTAAGTTCCTTCACAAATTAAAAGACAACTTCTATAAAATTAAATAAGGCAACATCAAAGAACTATAGTTAGCATGAAACAAATTTGTAATGAAATATTCCAAATCCCAGTACAAGTGAGCAGAAACATGTTTCAACAGGGAGTTATTAAAAACAGCGTTGGCAGAAGTGTAGATGGAGAAATGTGTAAAGAAAAAAATGCTCATCACACCACAAAATAACTGCTTTAGGAATGTCCTAATACAAGCTAGTGTGGAAAGCAGTATTTCTCATTACTATATTGATGTTCAGTAGTCCCTGACACTGTTACTTATCCAGTCCAATATACTTCTGCTCTAATTATTTGATCAGCTAAACATAGCTCACCTGTTTTTATTTTCCCAACCTCAAGTTTTATAAAGACCACTCTATATGAAAAAAAAAAGGATGCAAAGCTGGAGTATATTTTATCCATATTGATTATATAGGGACATCAAATCATTCCAAACTCTGATTATATCTATTTTGTTCAGATAATATTTCAGTGTTCTATTTGTGCATATGAATCTACTGTATTATAAACATAGGGTTGACATGCACCCTCCAATATATTGCAGGCCCTTCCCTAAATTTTCAGTGATCCCCTACTTATGTTGACTTAAGAGTGGAGGCAATATTCTGTACAACTAGTTAGTAGGATGCAGCCTCCAGCTTTCCATGTTCTAACTAGCAAGTGCAATAGCACTAAGATAACTGACAAATAATTTAGATAACATTTTATAAATGTTATAAAACCGAATGAAATGCATATACAGTATTAGATAAGATGAAACGTATTAGGCTACATACATTTAGATTGTTCGGCATAAAATTAAACACATCATACATATCATTCCACAATCCTTTACCCTAATATATCTGATAAAAGGCCTGACACTAGGATCTATAGTTTATCACATTGTTTATACACAGGAAGTTTTTTCTGGCGTCTATCACTCAATCTTATCAAAATCTGTTGTTGTAGAATTAAGTTCAAATTATTTATCATGCTGGCAGCTGTAGACTGTGTGTATGTGTAATATACTGACATATTATACTTCACTGTACAAATTGTATAAGACTGCCATTATAAAATGAACTATGCATATTTTTAATATGCATGAGGAGACAGTGGGCATCAAACATTATGTAAGTAATTGCTTTGAAAACCAAAACTACACAGAATGAAGCTATTCAATTAAATAAATTTGCAGGTAAATTCATGAGGACAAACTCACTGCAAATGTGTTTTCTCGGATAAAAGAGAAAACCAAAATTTAGAATTATTAAATGCAAGCAAATATAAGGGTGAACCTCAAAATACTATTCATTACAGCCAACTAACGAAAAGGAATTAAAGTAATTAAATTCTCTGTGCATGTTTGCTTGGGAATAAGTCCCACTAAACCAACTGGGATCTACTCATAAAAAGATCAAACTGAAAGTGACATTTTTTCCTCTTCCTCCTTCTTTTCCTCTTTTGGTTTTGCTACTCGACTACCAACCAGAGAATAATAAAATTAGAAATGGTTTTCTCCAACAGTTTATAACGTATTATTATCCATCTATGTAAATCACACTGGAATCTTTTAGGCCTATCAAACATAACTTCTGCAGCTGATAACCAAGGAAAGATTTAGCATTTATCTATTTCCCTCTTATCTTCAAGCTGAGGGATCAAATTGTCTTGCATAAGATTGTCTGACATACTCACAAAAGAGTGACATGGGTGTGTGCATGCAGCCATAAACCACATAACTAGCATATGCAAAAGAAGGCAGCCTAGAGTGGCAGTGATCCAACTGAATTTGCATGCTGTTTCATGCTACCAGAGCTAGGAGCATTTGCACGTGCACATTCTGAACCAGTTTGAGACTTTGGGACAATATTTGTGCCATCCCTCCTCTTCTTAAACAATGTGGGAAAGTTCACCTGCCGGATATAACCTATGCTCTGAGTCTGAGAAGTTTTAAGACTGTCAAGTGTAGTGGAGTGTTAAAAAGACTGGGAATTCAAAAACTTAAAGCAGCAGTAAAATATTAGTCAATGTCTATGAGAAATGAGTCTGTCCCTTTATTCAGGGTGTATGTGTTTAATGGTAAGCTGGGATGCATATAAGCTAGCCCAAGCATGAAGGGCAGTAGGACACTCATATGGGAAGCCAACTTTGTCCCTCAGTTATCAAGATAAGAAACCTGTCATTTCTCTCATTCACTCTGTCAGCCTTGAGATACTCTGAGCAGACTTACCTCTGTGTTGTACACCCCATATATCAGGAAGATGAAGAGACCCTGTAAAATAAAATGGAGGGAAAAAGCTGTTAACTCTAATCATTTCAGCAGTAGAAATACCTGAAATAAACTTTCCTGGGAACAGACAAAAGAAGACACACTTCATCAAGGTCAATTTATTTTTCTATTTTTCAACATTATAAAGTGTACCTTGAGCATTTATTTGATAACATGGGAGTGAATTGTGTACTGTAGGTGTGCTGTTGAACAATTTGGCATAAAAGAGATCAAAGATCTAAAATATTCATTAGAGAAATGCAGACAATATCTAAATAATCATTAATAACAAGTAATGATTAATGATTAACAAAAAGCTTAAAATCTTTGTGATTGTACCTTAGGAGACATAATATATAAATTATTAAATTATGTTTGAAAACCTCTCAGTATTTACTGCTGCATAAGAAGCGGTTTTACTAAAATTTGGGACTAAACTGGCCCATTTTTTACTTTAACAAACCTTATTGTCAGTTTTAAAGACGAATAGATTTGCAACAAAAGTACCATTCACAAACAAAAAAAGATTATAATACAATATACTTTAGTTAAGAGAACCTGCTTGTTTAGACTAAAGAAATATATATTTTCAAGTACAAAAGAGAATTGAGTTCATTATTAATTTGTTTAAATACTTGCTCAGAGCTCTGCACTTTCAAAATTAAGTCCTCACAACTATGCAAAACAGTACTAAATTCACCTAAATTTTAAGCAAAATATAACAATAGTATAAATAATATACAAGCAGAGTGCTGTTTCTTTATAGGAAGAATCATTTCTGATTTTTACATGCAATGGTCTGAAAGAAATATGTGAAAATAGACTTAATGTCCTGTATTCAAGCCCCTGTCACAAATTGCATGACTATCTTCCATTATATGGCTTTTTAAAAATTATTTTCTGCAAATGTAACACTACAGTGTTCACAGATAAAGAAGGAATAGCCAGTAAAATGCATTCAAAAACCCGCATACAGTTTTATAGGTATGAAAATTACTTCAATATCAAGAAGCAGTTATCTGCAGGATTCTACAAAAATGCATCTGCTTCAAGTACA